GGATGACCCATTGTGCTAAATTAGTAAAGTATAGTGGGTCTTAACAGTAGGAGACTAGGCTGTAAGGTCTATTCACCCAACATTCTCCCATTATTCTCTTCCTCAAAGGAAAGCATTATGTGTCGAGAAGGCTAAGAAATATGGGTGTAAAATCATGAACTTTTACTAATTCTGTTGAAAGCAGCATATAAAAATGTTGTTACTTTCAATTAACACACAGGGGTATTTAATGGAACCAGTCTTACTGAACCTGTAACAATTATAGTAACCTCATCCCTTGCAATAAGGGAGCCTCCAGAAACAGCTCTACAGTTTGAAAGACGAAGATTCCTTCTTTCACCTTTGTGTGTATTCAGTGCCTGTTCTAGTAAATCAGGCAGAATTTTGGACCAAACTTATCACCTCAATACTTTTCCAAGACTAAGTAGAAAGCACCATAATAGCTATATGGCCCTAACATCAATAGTCAGAAATACCAATCTATGAGTTGGTATTTTTATTTCTGTTTTTAGAATCAGTTGTTATTTCCTTTCCATGACTGCACATCTTCGTGCAGCTACTCGTGGATCCCAAGGTCACAGTGTGGCATGCAGTATACTGTAATTTAATTATTATGAAGCTGCTACAGCTGCTAGAACATGTTGCCCTTTACTTTCTTTATATTCCAAACGCAGTTCAGTGTGGCAGACTTCTGACTAGACCCAAAACGTTAATAAGATTTGACAATTCTTTGTGAGGATTTTTGTGCTCAGCAACTGTATGCACATTGACAAAATAGGGACAACTTACATAAATTAGATAATGACAGCTCTTTTTTCCCCTTATTATTTCTCTAAGCAAAGTTTCAACTTCCTGATTAAATTAAATCCACTGTTAAAAATAGAGCACTTTGGCTGAATTAAAAGAGATGGCAGCTACTCAACACATTTCGGGGATAGTCTGTATGGAATTTAGATGCAGCCTGCTCAGGAGTTGAAAACTCCCCCATGCCCAGTCATTTTGAGGTTCAAGGATATCAAGTTTTTCCAATGCTAGTATTTTCTCATAATTGCTTGTAGGGAATGGGAACATGTTGAAGTTGACCTTTGTTAGAATTGTGAAGGACAACATTCCTGCTTAATAAATCCCGAAGGTGGGCATCCTCATTTTATGAAGTCTATCTAGGGCATGATAAAGACCTGAGGTTATCACAAAGGCATCTTAATAGTTGTAGAGTGAATCACACAGCCAACTTGATGTGCTCATAAAGGTATAATTGAAAGACATATTGCTATCATAATGCTATCATTAAAACAGTTTTGAATTTATAGTTATTTATAATCAGATATTGTGAAATAGGAATTTAAAAAAAAGGATAACTAAGACTTCAGCTGAAATACATTCTACCTTTCTCAGTGATATTCCTGACACTGTTACTGAATTACTGCAATTCAGTAGCACTTATATTCATATATTAAGATGAATATCTGAATATCATGTTGCAGGGATGTTATTTTCAATAACATCTATTCATACTTTTATAAAATAAGGGATAAAGCATTAAAGCAATGCAGCCAAGGATTGAGTTTAATATTCTTCTGAATTTATAAAGAAGTCATTGCCAGTGAATAGCCTATTGAAAACTGACACATCTTCATATTGTTTATCGCTGACATAATAACACATCAGCAATTTATGATTTATGTGAGTAATCATGTGAAGGACCATAGTGACCTAAAGAAGATGGCTTGCACTTCTTTTCATTGATGAAGTGACAACAATCCAAACCTTTTGTGCCAAAGGGTATTTCCGACTCTATCTGTTGACATTGTAGGAATTAGTCAGTCATGCATGAGTAACTCTGCTTCTACTGATGGGATTTTTATTAGATAGTCAACCATAGTATAGTAGTATTAGCATTAAATAAAGGTCACATTTTGGTGCTGTAAAGTGATACTTCCAAAACACACACAGCATGGTCTCTTGTCTGCTGTGCACCCATTTCATTTTTGAGATAAAGAGTTTTAAGAGAATTACTTGAGGAATGTGGGGCTAAAGAATGTGAGCCAGAATGACAGAACTCTGCTTTAAAAAAGTATTGGAAAATGTCAACAAAATATTAAATTGTGTTAATAGACAGGGTGTGCATCTAGCTTAATCAGTTGAGCATTCAACATCTCAGTGTCTACATAAGCAGCACTATTAGGCTGCAGTAAACGAATAAACTCTGCAGTAGGATAGTACTTGTAAATACTGCAGAGTTTATTAGTTTATTAGTATTTACAAGTACTACCCTGCTGCAGTTTTTTACTTCACTGCTGCACACATGTAGACACTAACCTGGCTAGCTGGGGCATGGGGGTGCTTCAGTGCAGGGGCTACCTACTAGCTAGCCCCACAATGGAGCACCTTCCTGCCCCAGCCAGTCCCTCCACAGCATCTTGAGCCAGGTTGGAGCATCCCCTACCGGCTGGGGCTGCTGTGACCTGGCTCATCATGCTGCGGTCCCAATCACACGTTCAAATGGCACTTCTGAGAGCAATAAACTCCGGTGCAATAAGCACCCGAGTTTATTTCTTTGCATTAATTGCACATGTAGATGAGCCCAGGAATATTATTACCAGGCATTCTTTTCACATCAAATAAACATGCTACTTAAAACATGCAAATATGTAGGATGTAATATGTTTGTTGGTTTGTTTTTTCATGGTTAAGCAACCTTATACACCAGGATCAGCCTCAGCATTCTAAATAAAGATCTTTAAACTTCCTTATAATTACATGGTTGATTTTTTTGACCTATGTTACAGCCCCGTAGAAATAGAGAATAATTAAAGCAGCCAAAAAAGCTACAGCTGACAGTCTGAGCTTACTACTAAATAATGAATGCCAACTTTTAATTTATAGTTAATGAAGTAATCTCTCCCCATGCACCTATTAATATTTGATACAAATTTTGAAGAAAATTAGGAATATACTAAACTACATCAAATGGTATAGTTAACTAGTTATATCAAGACAGAGTATTCTGTATATACCTAAAAGAACAGGAAAACGTGCGTTACACACTGGGAACATTTTGTCATTTTAAGCATGTCATGCATTTACTTGCTGTTTGAGGATACATTTCAAATAGATAGGGGCTTTTCTAAAAGCATTACATAAACAATGGAGCAAACCATTTTCCTAAGGTTTCAGTTATGTGTAGTATGAGACATCATAGGAGATGGAGAGAAAACTTACAAATATTGTAGTATCATAGATTCATAGATATTAGGGTCGAAAGGAACCTCAGCAGATCATCGAGTCTGACCCCCTGCCCCAGGCAGGAAAGAGCACTGGGGCCAAATGGCCCCAGCCAGGTGCTTGTCCAGTCTCCTCTTAAAGACCCCCAAGGTAGGGGAGAGCACCACCCCCTTGGAAGCTGGTTCCAGATTCTAGCAATCCTTACTGTGAAGAAGTTCTTCTTGATGTCTAACCTGAATCTGCTCTCCATCAGGTTATGGTCATTATTTCTAGTTACTCAAGGTGTCCCCTGGTAAAAAGAGCATCACTTATCCCTTGCTGTCCCTGCTGATGAATTTATAGATGGCCACAAGATCACTTCTCAGCCTTCTCTTGCAGAGGCTGAAGAGATTTGGGTCCCTCAATTTCTCCTCATAGGGTTTTACCTGCAGGCCCCTAACCAAATGAGTGGCCTACTCTGGACCCTCTCATGGTTATCCACATCCCTTGAAGTATGGCGCCCAAAACTGGATGCAGTACTCCAGCTTCAGCCTCACCAGTGTCGCATAGAGGGGAAGTATCACTTCCATGGACCTGTCTGTGATGCAGCTGCTAATGCATGATAAAGTGCAGTTAGCTTTACTGATCACTTCATCACATTGATGACTCATGTTCATCTTGGAGTCAACTATAACTCCAAGATCCCTTTCTGCTACAGTGCTGCTGAGAGGGTGTTGGTGATTCCTTCTCGCTAGGTGCAGCACTTTGCATTTGTCTTTGTTGAACTGCATCCTATTCTGTTCTGCCCACTTCTCCAACCTATCCATATCCACCTGGATTAATTCCCTGCCTGTTAGTATGTTAACTTTACTCCATAATTTGGTGTCATCCATGAATTTGGACAGAGTCAAAGTCACTGATGAAGACACTGAACAGCAATGGTCCAAGGGCTGAACCTTGGATTCGGTCTAAGAATTTGCATGATTTTCTGCTTGGCTCTAAAGCAACAGGGATCTAGAGCATTAAGTATTTGCCATCAATTGTTGTATTTAATTGGGTATCATGGGATAATTGTTCTGGCTGCTGGAGTATACAGCTAGAATTAGGGAATTCCATGCTATGGAAATCTAAAGCAGGAGAGGAATTTTTAGAACCTGGACACTTCCCACTCTTACCTTTGAATATTGTCCTAAAATTTGAGAATCTGCATGTAGATTTTTCCCCCTAATAACTCAACCCAAGCCAAAGAAAAAAACCAAACAAAACAGAACAAAAAACCCCCAGACGAACAGCTTTGTTTATCCATCTGTCTCTTTAATAGCTCCTACAGTTTATAGGTTGAATTTTCACTTTTGTTTGTGCTAATTAACAAAGTCTTTCCAAATTGTTTGCTATTTTCCCTGAAAACATAAGCAACCTTTTCTCTACCCAAGTAAACTAATGTACTTCAAAGCTAAGCAATATTATTATCCTGCCAGGTTGAGTTTATATCTCTTGGGGTTTCTATAATCACCATTGATGCTGTTTGTGTCCTGCATTTTCCCCCCAATCATTTTCATGGTGTTATAACATTTGAAAAACTCTTCTGAAATTTAAACAAGCTTCATAACTTCAGACAATATAAAAAGACATTTTGGTGACAATAACATTCAGTTAACCTAATTGGAGAGAAAATTCATTTTAGTATGTAAATTCCACTGGTTTATGGGGGGTATTTCACATCAAGGGATCTTTTCAACAGTCATCCAAAGACTTGAATCTGCAAACACTAATGAGTAAAGTATTTTGTCTCATAATTAGGGTCCCTCTACATGTGCAGAAAAAGCGTTATGGGATCTAATTCATGACACACAATCATCCCTCCTGCCATGTCACATGTGCAAGGCAGGAGGAGCAATTGTAAGATTCTGCTTTAGATCTCATTGCACCTTGTAGCTAGTGTAGGGGGAACCTCATAAAATCCTTATTGAGGGTGCAATCCATCCCATCTTCTGTATTGTTAATGAAGACATTGAACAAAACCAGCACCAGAACCAACCCCTGGGGCACTGCACTTGATACTGGCTGCCAGATAGACATCAAGCCATTGATTACTACCCATTGACCCTGATGATCCAGCCAGCTCTCTATCCACCTTAGTCCATTCATCCAACCTATACTTCCTCAGCTTGCTTGCAAGAATGCTGTGGGAGACAGTATCAAACACCTTGCTAAAGTCACGGTATTTTTTGTCCACTGCTTTCCTCACATCCACAGAGCCAGTTATCTCATCATAGAAGACAATCAGGTTGGTCAGGCATGACTTGCCCTTGGTGAAACCATGCTGACTGTTCCTAAACGCCACTTTCTCCTCCAAATGCTTAGAAATGGATTCTTTGAGGACCTGCTCCATGATTTTTCTGGGGACTGAGGTGAGGTTGACTGGTCTTTAGTTCCCTAGATCCTCCTTTTTCCCTTTCTTAAATATAGGTTCTATATTTGCCTTTTTCCAATCATCCAGGACCTCCCCCGATCACCATGAGTTTCTAAAGGTAATGGACACTGGCTCTGCAATCACATCATCCAACTCCCCCATCACTTTTGGATGAATTGCATCTGGGCCCATGGACTTGTACACATCCTGATTTTCTGAATTGTCCCTGATCCGTTCTTTCACCACTGAGGGCTGCTGGCCTCTTCCTCCAACTGTGCTGCCTGGTGCAGTAGTGTCAGAGATGACCTTGCCTGTAAAACTGAGGTAAAAAAGTCATTGAGGACTTCAGCCTTTTTCTCATCATCAGTCTCTAGGTTGCCTCCCCCATTCAGTAAGGGACCCACACTTTCTTGGACCTTCCTCTTGTTACTAACATACTTGTAGTAACCCTTCTTGTGACCCTTCATGTCCCTTGCTAGCTGCAACTCCAGTTTCACTTTGGCCTTCCTAAATTCAGCTCTGCATGCCTGAGCAATATTCTCTCCCCTTCCCCCAATTCTTCCGTGTTTGTGATCAGTAGGTCAAGAAGACCATGGCGCTTAGTTGGTCTCTCCAACACTTGCACCAGAAGGTTGTCTCCAACACTCTCCAAAAACTGCCTGGATTGCCTGTGCATTGCTGTGTTGCCCTCCTAGCACATCAGGGTGATTGTAGTCCCCCATTAGAACCAGGGCCTGTGATTTAGAAATTTCTGCTAGTTGTCTGGAGAAAGCCTCATCTCTTTCACCCTCCTGGTAAGGTGGTCTATAGCACACACCCACCACAACATCACACTTGTTGCTCTCCCCTCTAACTCTAACCCAGACACTTTCAGCAGGCCTATCTCTAGTTTCATACTGGAGCTCTGAGCAATCACACGGTTCCTTTACATACAGCACAGGTCCCCCTCCTCTTCTCCCCTGCCTGTCCTTCCTGAACACTTTGTACCCATCCATGAAAGTGCTACAGTCATGTAAGATATCTGTGGAAGCACCTGTGCCTATCTCATGAGGCAGGTCTTAATTTTTCCATGGGATCTTTTCCAGTCTTTGTTCCCTTACAAGCAGACAGCTTGCTCTCAGCCTGGTCTAACTGGGGTTGATGCAAGGCCAACCACTTCCATGACTTGTTCTTTGATAAAAATTAGAAGGAATTTCTTAGTCCTCATGCGTGCTGTTCTTATTCCAGCCCTGGCACTGTCTTCTGGGGCTCTGCCTCCCCTACACCCTGCCTTATGCCAAACTTTAAGGTCTTAAATAAATGTCCAAGGGCACAAAGATTATGGTCTCTTATAGTGGCTTCTGAGGTAGGTAATGTATAAAGCAAAACAGTACACAACTCAAAGATCCTTCTGGGACTTAGGCCCTTCCCATAACCCTTTAGGCCAGAGTTGGACCACCCAGGTCCTTGTCCTGACAGGCCCTTCTGACTTTAGGGTCCACCATCAGAATGATTCATTGTGAGCCACTCTTGCCCCTGACTGTACTCACAACTCTTCTCTGTCTTCCTTTTCAGATTCAGTGTCCCTGCTCAGATCCCAATCATGTGTCCCTGACTGCCAGGACAAACCTGTGGGTAAGCTGTTCAGCTCCTCTGAGCCATCTCAATGGGCTTACTGCCGACAGGCTGCTTTCCACCATTCACCCCTCCTGCAGCTTCCGGACCTCACTTCCAGTCCATCTGTATCCTCAGGTTAACCCGGGTGCAGGGTTCCTCCTCTTCAACTGGAGGCATCATGCGCTTATGAAGTGTAGCCACCCCAGCACTAGGGTTTCCCCAGCACTCGTCTTTTTACTCAGCACTATTTCTTGTCGCTGTTTCACCACTTTCTGGTGACTCTGCAGGTAAGATTCTTCCTGTATTTCCTCCACACAGTTACACTATTGCACCAAGCCTCTGTTATTCCAATCACATTATAGTTCTTTGACTATGTGAGGACTTCCAATTTTTCCTGCTTGTTTCCCAAGGTCCATAGATTTGTGTACAGAAACCTGAGGTGACTATCTGATTGCCTTACTTTCTCAGGAAGAAAGAGACCTTCCCTGTTGTCTGCTCCTGCTTCTGCTTCCTCCAGGTTTCCCACTTCCCCATTTACCTCAGGAATTTGTTCTCCATTTCCCACTGAACTTAGTTTAAAGCCCTCCTCACTAGGTTTGCAAGCCTGTCTGTGAATGTGCTCTTCCCACTCTTCATCAGGTGGTTCCTGTCTCTTTCTAGCAATCCTTCTTCTTGGAACAACATCCCTTGGTCAAAGAAGCTGAATCCCTGCTGGCAGCACCACCTGTGCAGGCCAGCATTTATGTTCAGGATGGATCCACTCCTGCCAGGGCCCTTCGCCTTGACTGGAAGGATTGAGACCATGATCTGTGTTTCTGTCCTCTTCATACTCCTCTTCATTCTTGGACTTAGAGCCCTGTAGTCACTCTTGATCTGCTCAGGGTCACCCCTGGCAGTATAATTAGTGCCCACATGGATGCAAAGTAGAGGTCTACCCACTGCAAGCCCCACAGCTGATGAGATTCACAGTGGGGGCAGCACCAGGAATGCTGTCACCACTGTGAGCATTGTCAGCTGTAGGGCTGCCAAAGGGTAGTTGTGAGGGAGTGAAGAGGCGGGCCGGATTGGAGGCTTCCCGCCCCGGCGCAGCAGCGCTGAACTCGCTCACATACGCCTGAAATGCTGGGCAACCCCTTACCATCTGCAGGTGCGGGGAAGTAGGCGTGGCCCAGGTGGCAAGGACCAGTGTAAGAGGGACGCCAGCGTCCGGAAGAGGAGAGGTGGAGCCAGAAGGAAGCCAGGCGGCTGCAGCGGCAAGAGGAAGCTGTGGCGAGTGGAGCGAAACTGTCCGGAGGCGCTGTCGAACCTGGTGGGGTAAGCCGAAGCCTCCACAGGGCAGGGAAGCAGGGACGATGGGTCCCAGCGAAGACCCGGGCTGTGCAGCACGGCTAAGAACAGCGGGACCCGGCAGGAGCCGGGAGCCGTATAGTTTGGAATAGAGGGGCACTCTCTACAGGAGAAGAGGCTGCCCAGTGTCTATAAGGACTGAAAGTTGGTAAGAAGCCAGGGAAAAGGACTAAGGAGCCCTGAGAGGGTCCTAGGAAGGAGTGCTCTAGCACCCAACAGCCGGGTAGTAACAATAGGGCACTGAGGGCAGGCTAGCCTAGTGCCCAAATAACCCGGACTGGAAAATCATTAATGGCATGAAACAGAGATCGCAGAGTAAAAAGGGAGCTACCTACTGACGGGTCCGTCGACCGAAGATGACGACAGATCTGGTGGTACGGGCGAGGGTGTAGGGGTGGCGGAGCCCTCTCTGACTAGGGACCCCAAGAGTCCCGGAGTCTCACTTTTGGACTGGTACGCGCCGGAGTAAGTTCACTGAACCAGAATAACATCAAAGTCGTGGCAGGCATATCAACTGCGTACAGGCCGAGAGGAGGGACCCGTAGAGATTGGAAATGCTGTGGGCGAGGCGTGTGAGAAGGCGGGTGCGGCATCGGACACGCCGAGTCCGCACAGTGGTGCATTGGCCGGGAAGTACTATTTTGCTTCCAACGTCGGCCTCCCTAGGAGTAATAAGGGATAGAAATGGAGCGCCCACCGGGAATGCCCAGAGTGGAGACATTGCAACAAGCAATGAATATGATGGCCCAGGTGCTGCAGCAGCAGCAGCAACAGGCCATGAGGCAAACAAGCCTACAGGAGCACCTGCTCCAGCAGCAGTGGTGGGCCCAGAAGGGGTCATGGGACTTTCGGATGCCAAAAATGTCAAAGGAGGATGATCCAGAAGCGTTCCTAGAGACTTTTGAAAGGGCGGCTATAGCTGCAGTGTTAGAGAAAAGTAAATGGGCCGGACACCTAGGCATCTTACTAATCAGCCAGGCTCAGGCAGGATACCGAGCTATGGCCAGAGGGAGTGCCCTGGACTACGACAAAGTTAAGGCCGAGATACTATGGCGGTTAGATATAATGCCAGAAAGACACCGGCAGGCTTTTAGGGAGAGAAAGGGGGGTGAGGAAAGAACTCCCCGCCTTCTATGGCAGAGTCTCGCAGATCTGCTGGGTAAGTGGCTCCGGCCTGAGGAGACATCAAAGGAAGAGATTTTTGATCAAATTCTCTTAGAACAGTTTGTTACAGATCTCGAGGAAGACACCCAGAAATGGGTAAGATGTCATTGTCCCAACTCCTCTCATGAGGCATTGCAACTGGCCGAACAATACGAAATGGCTCAAGGGGACCGGCGGAGACCTAAAGGTACGCAAGAGCAAGAGGCGGTTACGAGGCGGGACCCAGAGAGCAAGGGGGGCAGAAGAGAGGGGCCGCTAGGCTTGACGTGCTTCTCCTGTGGCAGGAAGGGCCATGTGGCAAAAACTTGCCCTCAGGATCCTCAGACGAGGTTAGCGAAGGTCCCGGACTTGTCGGAG